TGTATACCTAGTTCAAAAACCAGATTTGTGAAGACTTGGACAAGTAACATAGATTTCTCATCAATAAAATGAAGAGAATAATATCAGCTTCTAAGGACTGTTGGGAGTCTTAAATGAAAAAATGCCTGTAAATTCCTAAGGAGAGCCTGCCCATAGTGGGCATAGAGTATATATATTAACTCTCCCCATTTCCTTGATAGACCTATAATTGCATGGGTTATCACCTTAGGTGCTGAAAGTCTTCTTTAATGCTTACATACTGTGATGTGAAATGAAGTCCATATTAATAAACTGTTGCTTTAGTTCTCTCTAATCACCCCCTTTTCTTCTTTGCATTTTCTAATTTATGGAGGTCAGGGAAAACAGCCATGTATGCGTGTGAGGAGCCATCTAAATAATCGATGGGACAATAGATGGACATATTAAGGAAAAATCCTCAAAGCATTCACTTAGGTGAATGAATTTCATATATACATTGGCTTTTAAAAAGTTTATTCTGGAATCTTCAGGCATGTCTCATATAGATGCTAGATAAATGAAGCATCACTAGAAAGCATACAATCTACTCACATTCAGGAGGTACAACTCCATAGATATCCTGGACTCGCCCTGGCCAAATAAGGACTTAATAGATGTTGATATAATTAGCAGTTTATGGTGATTACAAAATGTCCCTGTTGAGTCACTGAGTGTACCCCAGGACATGGCCTCCCACCACATTACAGCATGTGGCTGGACACCATGTAGAAAGGAGTATGCCCTGCCCTGCCCCTCCTTCCCCTCACTTCAGTACACATTATATTCTACGAAATGCTAAAATGCTACAACCCACATTCAGTCTGTGTTTGTAATGCATCCTCTTCTGTTCCCTCACATATGGCAGTCTGAAACAATTACATAATGAGACATACTATCAGGGCATAACTGTCAAAAATGAAGAGACTGAGCTGTGAATAAATATTACCCACTTATTAGCTGTGCTGCTCCTGTGTCCTCGAATCTATACCTCACCCCTTACTTTCAGGTTTTACATTCATACCCTCTGATTGCCTGTGTAACTAAATGATACAGTACTAACAATGTTTAGAAAATGATTTATAAAATCAAAGGCAAATTAAATTTTAAAGTAGTGTTTCTTATCATATTTGTGCGGTAGTCTGGTGAAATCTACTGACTCTTCAGAGCATGTTTTAAAATTCATAAAAATAAAATATATAGGGTAACGAAGGACACCAATTATATTGAAATACTGTTGAAGAGTCACTGACCCTGTGTTAAAAATTTTGCCCTAATATGACTCAATTTAGGTTATTTCATCAAGTTTCTTCCCTCTGAAGTACCTGTTCTGGACTTTCTATTTTAAATATGAAAATATCAAATTTGGCAGATTCTCTCGCCTGTATTACCCCTATAGAACTATTTGGAAAGACATGTTAACTCTTTCAAAAATGTACTGTTTTTCCCCTGAACAAAAGCAATCTCTTCCTCAGGATAGATGCACCCTTCTGATTACCAGGATGTCAGGAGGTCTCAATACTCAGTACTTTCACAGGTGGAGCTAATACTGACCTGAATCCACACGTCTGGTCACAATTTGTGCATTCCTGTGTATTACTATTATTTTTTTTCCTTCACATTCAAAAAGTCCAATCTGGATGCAATGACTGCACATAAAGTTGAACATTAAGCTGCTCATTTATTTTATAATAAAGTTATTTGGAAACTTCAGTACTTCATGATTAACAACAAATTTTCTGATGAGGAACCTCACAGTATACAAAGGTGGTGAGATTCTATGGTTGAGAACAACTGTTTTACTCAAGGATATATCCACTGATGAAGGAAGGATGTTATGCCTTTCAGGTCACTATGACGCCATTTTGCATTTATAGTGACAGTACTAAAGTGAACATTTCAATGGCCTAATTAATTGTTTCTCTTAAGCAGAGGTTGGCACTTTTCTCTAAAGGTCCAGAGAGTGTATGTCTTAGGCTCTGTGGGCTATATGGGCTTTGTTGCAACCACTCCACCATTGTAGTATGAAAGCAGACATAGACAAAATGAATGAAAGAGTGTGGCTGTGCTCCCATCAAAACGAAACTATGAACACTAAAATTTAATTTTATAGAAACTTCAGATGTTACAGTCTATTGTTCTTTTTAAATTCTTTCCACTTTGTAAATGTGTAAAAACCATTCTTAACTAGCAACCCATACAAAAACAAGCAGCCAGCCAGACTTGGTCCGTGGGCTGTAGTTTGCTACTTCAATTCTTATGTATGAAATCTGTAGCCAGGTAGCAAACCAATTAAGCAGGTTCTTTGGATTGGTTTTGACATCCCAGTGGGACCTGCTTGTAAAATAATTTTAGCGAGAATATGAAGTGAGAAAGTCTTTGATGTTTTTAGATGATACTACATATAGAAACAAAATTCAAAATTATATAGATGGAAACTATCTTTGTCTGAAATCAATCAAGATCCAGCTCTTAGAGGCAATATGTAAGAAGCCTCATTTTTACACAGACAGTGCAGACTATTAAAAAATGTTGAAATGTTATGGAAGCAAATTCGTGCAGCACAAATTTAGGGTTTCTTTTTAATTTTTTTTCTGAACACCTAATTAAAAGCATATGGTATTAATTTACCTTTACTGGAGTTAGTAAATATTCCACTATTTCTATGCAGTTCTTTGTGTTATCAAGAACATGAAGATTTGAAAGCCTGTCTTCTAAATCTGTAAGAAATATCTTCATCACTGATTATTAATGGTAGAGATTGATTTTCAGGGCATTTTTTTGCAGGGAGAAAAACAAAGACAAATTAAAAGAAAGAAAAAAAAACCAGAAGGAGGGTGGTAGACAGCAGCAATATGGTGTGGGTATAGACAATCCCTGTGATTCACGGAAAAGTTAGGGCTCACAGATTAACTGTCGTGAGAAAGTGTTTTATTTCTTGTAGAATAGTTCCCATCAACCAGATCATTACAAGATTAGCACAAAATTCCTATTTAGGAATCAGGGAGTTGCAAAATATGTAATACTTCATGTGAACTTCAATGTTGTTGTTGTTGTTGTTTTATAAATATCACCAGACACACATCTGGGGTTTTAGTGCTTGCCACAGTGTAGTTTTCTGGTTGACATATATCTAAGAAATGCGTATATTAACACCCAGGCTATAGAGCCAAGTACATTTTCGTGCGGGCTACAGCTGAAAGAATATGTTTCCATTCCTTGTCCATCTGTTCTTGGCAACATAAATTTAAACTAGAAACACAGAATAAGTTTCATGAGAAATAAGTCTAAATAGGGTTTAGAACAGCAAGGTGAATGCTCTAAGTTATTATGACTTGTTAACATTTGATTTTGTAGCTAGAATGTTGTGTTGAGAAATCTCATGCTTCAAGTCTAAAAAAAATAATAATTTTTTTTTTATCAGTTCATTTAAAAAAAGACAATGGCTTGGTCACACTTTCAGCTTTAAGGGCTTGTATTCGCCAATGATCATGAGCCTAACAAACTTTGAGATTTCAGAATGCTTATTTGCCATATACTTGAACTACACTAAAAATGCATCTTCTACATTTGTGAGCTCCAAGCTAAAATGGATTCATTAGTGGGGAATGAAGGTTTTCCATACAAAATGGAGCCCATATAAAACACACTTGTTTTTCTGCAAGTCCAGCCTCAGCTATGACCAGCTATTATGTTATTATCTTGTAAAATCATCATGCCCTCCCACTCTGTGCTAAAATCTCCAGGTTTTCTGCTACTAAAATAATATTAAACTGTTTATTTGTATTTGAAAATACATGGGAATACATGAGAATACTAAAAAATAAAAGGGCCATATATATGAACCTAGAATTTTGCCTCTCTCTCAAGGGTCCAGGTACTTTGAGCTAAATAGGTAAGCTGTATAGGGGCTTTGTTTTAGGGCTGGGCTCTGTGGGATTCCTCTGATGTGAGGGCAACCTCTACCTCTGGCTGAGCAGAAGTCTTCAGGTTGGGAAGGGAACTTGAAGCTCACACAATCCAGGCTCTTTCTCTATATAAGAAGCATTTATATAATTTTTACGTCTCTTTTTCTTCTATGGTTGATTTATCAAATATAACATAGCGGTTATGTGTCTAAGTCACTGGGTTCAAATTTTGGCTCTGTGACTTCCTAGGTATGTTAATATGAATAAATTAGTTAACTTCTCTAGTGTTCAGTTTCTCTGTCTGTAAAAGGGAATGATCAATTTACCTTCAATTGGTTTTAAAGGGAAGCAAATGAGGTAATAAAGTGATTAGTCCAGTGACAGGCACTACTTAGTAAACATTCATCAAGCAAAAGCTATTACTATTAGCCTCTTTCTACTGCCCTCTGTTAGAAAAAATAATTGCACTGTGCTAATTTTCTAGGTGGTTCCCAAATAATATTTTCGTAACATACTTCTTATCATCAGAAAAATATCTCAAGAAACTAATACTGTTTCTTGAACTTCTGCACAAAGTTACCTATGACTATGGACAAGTCACCTGATGATTTAGAGACTCAATCTTCTTACCTCTAAAATGAGAAACTGTAATTCCATGAGCTCTAGGGTCTTTTGTTCAAGTAATTTAACAAAATCATGTTTGACAGCATATCCTCATACTTTATTTATAGTGTTGAAGTGTGTATTTGCTGCCAAATGTATAAATGTTCCATATATACATGTGGAATAACATTAGGTTTGTTGATGTTAAAAACTACTGGTATATTTTTTGGCATTATTTGGCTCCGAATTCATTCTTCCCATTTTGTTTTAGATCAAGTTGACAGCAGATCTTTTCCCATAGCACCGCGAGGTTTAGTTAAACTGAGAGCTTTAGACGTAGGCCATCTTTCAGAATCCAAGACAAGCTTTCTTTGTCAAGTGGCTTTCATTTTTCATCTTCATAATATCTAATGGCATTAAATTGTGCACATATGGATCTCTACTGTAACTGACAAGGCTTCTGTTTTCTTTCAGATCTAAGTGATCAGCTGCTGGAGGTGGTTGGCTTGGAAGGAGCCATGGAGATGGGACAAATCTACACAGGACTGAAAAGTGCTGGGCGGCGGCTGGCGCAGTGTTCTTCTGTGGTCGTCAGGTAGTTGTTTCTTTATAATTGAGAAAGGGGGTTGACATGGTATAAGTACAACCTAATTAAAAGTATGCAGGACTCTGATAACAACATTGGTCTTATTTGTGCCTCAAATTATCAGTAACTAATACTGATATATTTCCACATAATGGAAATTGGCAAATTTTACAAAGTGTTGGTTAGCTATTACTTATCAGGTTGATTGAAATTTGATGTTCTCTTGTTCAGACCCTGGATACAATTCTAACATACAAACTTCATCCCCTCCCAAATGGTTCCCGCATAGTTTAGTTTCCTGAAGCATGAAAGGATCTACCGGGTATATTGCCCAATGAAAACACTGTTGAGGGACCATTAACTTACATTCTTTCATGGACTAAAGTACACCATTGTTTCTATAAAATTAAGTAATTACTTTATTGTAAAGTAAGATTTTTTTATGTGTATTAAATTTAAACCTTTTTAAGAAACATTTTTCCAGAATTTTACCTTTAGGGAAAAAAGTCTACTTTGACCGTACGGTGAAACTGTGGGTGATAGCACAGTTATAGTTGGTGTTATTTGTGTGAAAATGTTAATACTGGAAAATCTGAGACATCAAACACCTTTCCTTCAGGTTTGCTGTGTAGGTTTTGATGAAAACAAGGAGGCTTTTTTGGCTATAGGAATTCTGATTATATCATTAAACATAACCCCCCCAAAATAAATAAAAATAAAAATAATAAAAAATTTGAAAACACCATAAGCCCTACATTTTTCTTTTGACATCTATAATTTTTTCATATCATCACATTTACCAGGAAGCTCTTAATATTTCTGTGACCAAGGTATGTTTCAGGTACTTATTAATAGTCAAGAATTGCAGTTCCTTTCAGAAGAGATCAGTTTAAGCCCAGCTCTTACCATATTTGCATTCCCTGGTCTCATCATCTTACATCTTACATATAGTCTGTTGTGTAAAATATTTCAGTGTTATACTTAAAATGAAATATTTTCCCCCAGGACTAGCAAGTCTCTGCCAATGCAGATCGACGGGGAACCATGGATGCAGACCCCATGCACAGTGAGTACAGAGTAGTTGAAAGGCTATGTCGCTTCATTTTTGCTTTCCAGATACCATGTACTTGTATAACTAATCACATACCCTAAATAAATAACCACAATATCTAAGCTTTTGATCTATCACCAAGTACCTTTTTCTTTTTATTATTGTTGTGACAGAGCTATTGTATTCAGGTTTGGGGCATTATATGCCCTTGGCAATGATTTAACTTTTGAATGTTTGTGTTAGTCTAAGCTTTTAGATACCATAGATCAGTTATAAACTCTGGGACTATACAAAATTAATGAAACTTTAAAAATCTTTCTTGTACTTGTTTCAGAACACCTTATGAGAAAATTATTTATGGGGCCTTCAGACATAAGTCTCCCTGAATTATTACCCATCTGTTCTTTTACCTCTACTTGGGGAGTTGAGGGCATCCTTCTCTGTAGAAAACTCCCCCATCACTGTTTTCTCCAGAATGAAATATTATTTAAGTCAAATATTTAGACCCCTCAAAATTCCAATTTCCATTTGTATAGGGAATATTTTATTATATTTCAAACATATGCTAGGCGCTGCTCTTGGCACCAACAATAGAAACAAGATCAGTAATATACATCATAATCAATAATAGAACATGATCAATAATATAATTGGTTCCAAGGAACTTCTTTTCGGATAAGAGATTACATAGATAAATATAAACAAACAGATGCATCGTAAGTATAACTTCAGACTATGAGAGTTATGAAAAAAAATAAGGTGAAAGGGTGAGGATCTGGGTGCAGTACGGGGGACACTACTTTAGATAAGTGGGTCTAGGAGACCTCTATGAAAGAAGAGTTAAAAGCTCAGTATGTTAAAGAAACCATAAGGAGGATGGTGTGACCAAAGTTTCTAGAGGTAGGGGGAGAACAGTAAAGGACGGACAGGGACAATCATGTAGAAAAAAATGATAGCAAAGGGTTCGCATTTGATTCTATGTGCAATGGGAAGCTTTCAAAGCCTCTAAGCATCATCTCATTTACATGTTAAAAGTTCACCTTGGCTGCTTTGTGGAGAATGGATTATACTGAGTAGCCGCTGGAAGAGAGTCTATCAGAGTAGTCTGGGCTTGGGCATGGATGGTGACAGGGAAATGGATAGATTTGAGCTACCTTCTGGAATGGAACAAGAAGAATTTGCTATTGAGTTCCCTTGGGGCTGAGAGAAAGAGATGAATCCAGGTTAGCTCTTACATGTGAACGATGATGCGTTTACTGCATAGTTAAGATAGGGAGGGCAGCCAGTCAGGGAGTGACAGGGGAGGTCTTACTCTTAGACTGGTATAAGCACTATCCTAAGTGCGGGTGTTACATGTAAGTTTTTTTGTTTTGTTTTGTTTTTTGTTTTTTAAGTTGAGATATAGTTGACATATAAGATTGTATTAGTATTTATTAAATAGTCACATAAACATTAAATAATGGATCTCATCATTTTCCAGATGGAGAAAACAGAGCCTTTGGAAGGTTCCATAACTTTCTCAAGGTCAGATATGTAGCAGAAATGGAACTCAAACCCAGGACTCTTTGATTAAGGCCCCTTCTCTTGACCACCAGTTTAAACATATTTAGCTACAGATTCCAAACAGTGCAGTTTAGCATGTAAAAGGAAACTTTTAATTTTACCTTTCCAGTGGTTTTACTTGAAAGTTATTGGCTTCCTCTTTGTGTACAGCAGATAAATATCACCTTTTATTTATTCCTGGTATGTTCTTCTTAGCCACTTTGAACCCCAAGATTGTGAATCTGTTAATTCTCTAATAATAATGTAAAACAGACTTGTTTAAAAAGTCTCTGTTGATTACTTCCTGTTTTCTGCGGTCTTTGTACTTGGTTCCAAATACCCTTAAAAGAATTCCTGTTCTCCCTTTACCAGCATGTAGGCACTTGCATCTTGTCTGTTATTCTTCACGCTCCCAATGACACTTCTAAGTTCACGTTTATACTCACACCAATGTTGAAGGTGTTGTTACTGTTGCTACAAGTGGTGGTAGTGATGGTAGTGGTGGTGGTGGTGGTGGTGGTTGTGACGCAGGATGATGGTGGTGGGGGTAGTAGCAGTATTGTCTTTAATGAAAGGTCAGTTTTCATCAGCTTGGTTCACAAGATCATAAATGAAAAACAGTGAAACACCAAACACCTTCCACAAGGACTCTAGTTTTTGGATTCTTCTCAGGGGGAAAGGAAGTTTCGTCCTTACTCCGTGTTTTAAATCCAGAAGGATTCATGGTAATAATAATTTCTAACATACATTAAGCTTTTAGTTTGTGCCATGTACAGTTTGAGACACTTGTCCTGCATTGACACATTTAATTTTCACAAAAACCCTATGATTAGTTTCACTCTACGGATAATGCAACTGAAGCAGAAAAAGGTCAAATAGTTTGCCTGATTCTACACAGATGGAAAGTGGCAGGGTAGAAATTAAAACACAAGTAGTCTGGCCCCACAGTCTTACCCCCACCATGGATCTCAACCTGTGAAGGCCCTGGGCCATCCTTGTGACACCCCTGCGGGAGTGTGACTTCCAGTAAATCACTTACTGCCTTTCTCCAGCTTTAAAAAATCTATGTCGATGAAAATCTAACTAGTATTTTAGAATAATTTTTACCTTATTTTACACAAGCACTTCTAAAGATACTTTTGTTAACTTACCTTTCAATTAGTAAGAGGATATTTATTTTGCCTATTAATTATCATGATCTCTATAATTGTTAAATTAATAATAATTTTATATAACTTATATTTAATTTTCTCTCCTTAAACTCTCTTATTCTTTTAAAAACATTTATTCCAGTCTATAGTGGGCCAAGAGCTGTACTAGACTATGGCTCATTATTGTCATTTCACATTCTGGCATACTCTGCTTTTCCTAGAACCACATGGAGTTCTGAACTTTAAATTTCACTTTAAACGAAGAGAGCATTTAGTCTTCATAACATTGGTATGGTTTAGCCAAAGAGTGTTGTTTGTTTCAATTGAATAACGAAATGTTTTTTCATACAGAATATCAGAATTGATAGAATGTTAAAATTCTTTGCTGAATTTAAATATCCATTAGCTGATATCTAATTTTTGAAGGAATTGCTTTAGATATAATGTTAGAGCACAGCAGAAGTTCTTTTTTTCTTTAAGTAGAGCATATAAAATGGAAAGGCAGGTGATAAATGGGTCTTGATTTTTACATGAAATTATTTTTTTTAAATAATCAAAGTAATATAAGTTCTGGAGATCAGTAGTGTTGATGGGTGCACAGCAAAGTAAATGTAGTTAATGTCATTAAGCTGTATACTTTAAGAATGGTGAAAATGTTCAATTTTCTGTTACATATATTTTACCACAATAACAAGAAATTAAAAGAAAAACCCTAAGGTAATATGTACTTAGAAATTTCACCAATCCAGAGTTAAAATATCAGGAAAAGCAAAACCAAAGAGCTTGAAACTTCCAATATATACTTAATAATTATATTTATGACCTTTTAAATTGTCTCACTATAAACTAATCAACAGAAATGTGTCAAGTACTCCTGTGCTCACAGTTTCATAATAGTCATTGAGTTAACAGAGAATGGATTTCCATATACCTATTGGCCATGTTAACAAGCATATCAATCTAAAGAGACAATTCCAGAAGACTTTATGTTGAAATAGTTCAAGAAGAGCCTTTTTTTAGGCTGGACTCCAGAGCCTAATTATTTTCCCCTTTTTGTCTTCCTCCTCTGCAATCCTTCTTCCTGAGCATGTCAAACATACTGATTCTGGTATCAATATATTTCTCTCATAGGGAAGAAAAAAAAAAAGGAGCAGCTTGGGAGGAGAGAAGAGAAGAGAACAGTAAGATATGGGAGATCATAAACTAGGTCAGATTCCATTTTGTATCCATTCATTACAAGTGATGGGTGCCCAGTAAAGTTCTGTGAAGTTAGGAGTGACCTTACTAAGCCTCAAATTCAATATACCTAAAATGGACTCATCACCTGCCTCCCTCTTTCCTCCCCCCAAACAAATACTGACTTCTTACATTCCAAAATGCTTGTTCCTCCCTTTACCATACGAGTTAATGAAACCATTATATACCCAGCGTTTCCTAAGCTAGGAATCTGAGAGCCATTCTAAACTTCTCTGCATACCCTCAAATTCAAATACCATGTCCACCTAGCAATATGACATATTTCTGGAATCTTTTCCTTGCTTCCATCCCCATGACCACTGTCCTAGATTTGGCCCATTTCATTTCTCTCACACTCCTGGCAATAACCACATTAATTTTTCCCTTCTCTGTTTAAATCCTTTCTTTACCCCTCTACCAGAATGATCATGATAAAATACTAAGCTCACCATGATACTCTTCTACTTAAAATCACTTAATTTCTTTCTGATAAAATATAATTTGAATCAGGCTTCCTCTTTCACCAATATCATCCCTTACTTCTTTTTAATCTCTTCATTTACTTCCCTTGTGTCCAAATAAGCTTTTCTTCTTTGGTTGAGTTGCACAACTTAGCTTGAGACTCATTTCATATTGCCCTTCCTCTATAAAGCCCTTCCAGAACATCGCCACTTCCTCTACCCCATCCCTGACCCCAGCTAGTCTGAAAGCCCAGCCTCAGTGCGTCATAGCTTTATGAAAGCACTAATGATATTACATTGAAATTATCAGCTTATCGGCCAGCTCCTTGTTGGATATAAGCTTACTGGGGTCATGCACCATAATTTTGATCATCTTTATATCCCTGGAGCATAGCACAGTGCCTTACACATAATTACACAGCCAATGCCAAGTGCATTTTGAGTTTGTGAATTTTTTTAAATACTTCTTGAGGTAGTATAGCAATTTTAAAAAAATGCTTTCTACTAAACCTTCTTTCACTGAACATAATGTAGGTTGGCTAGCAATTCATTCACATATTTTCCATATATAAGTACAAGTAAAAGTTATTTTGAGTTATCTTTATTCATTTCATTCTCAAAGCAA